AAAGTGCTTGAGCTTACTGGAAGTATAACCTCTGTACATGGCATATTGTGGAAGCCAGGGGTGGTATGAGGCAGGAAGCTCAAGCCTATGCCCCTTTCTTGCAGTACCCCCAAAGCCTCTGTGGGCTGGCCCCAGCTCTGTTAATATCAGAACCTGGTTTGTCATTCATGATGCAGGAGCCATTGGCTTGCCTCTGTGGGAAATGATCCAAGAAGGTCGCCCTCACTGACCCTCTCCTGAATTTCCCTCCCCTTCACCTAAGTTTCCCCCAAACAGAGTCAGACTCCTTAGGTGTGACTGCTTGGGGACTCCATGGGATAGAGAACCCCTAATTGGCAACTCTGATCCCCTCACTTTATCCACCACTTCCCAGTAGATCAGAAACAGAGGGTCTGAAGCCAGCTCAGCCTCTAGGACTTTTTCTGAGGGTTCAAGATCAAGATATTAAGTTTTTTTGAGGGTTGGATTTTGGTTTGGTTTGATTTGGTTTTGGTACTGGGGATTGGACCCAGGGGCACCTAACTACTAAGCCACATCTCCAGCCTTTTTTATTTTTTATTTAATTCACTAAGTTGCTGAGGCTGGTAATCCTCCTGTCTCAGCCAGTCGCTGGGATTCTGGAATTACAGGCTTGTGCCACCTCGCCTGGTAAAGGGATTAAGATTTTTACACAAGGTTACCCAAGAGTTGTTCTCCTGCCCCAATATTTGACGCACTCTGACACCTCAAAGGGTGGGAAGACAAAGGTTCTCAAGAACTCAAAACATAAAGTAGGCCTGTGGAAAGACCATTGGACAGGTCCCCATTGAGCTTTGTGGGAGGGCCTTTCTTGGAAGCCCATGCTGGGTAGGGGCTAGGCAGAGGGCTGGGACTAGATCTGAGAGAACTTGCAGCGCTAACAATGCTTAACTACTGTCTTATTGGCCTAGAAGGGGAAAACGGAATCATAACCAGGATAAGTGGATTGTGCCAAAGATGCTGGCTTTTGATTTCAGTTTTTCTATCTGTATAGGTGGAAGGGTGTGTGTGTGTTCATTTGCTGAAGTCCAACTGAAGCCTAGGAAGGACTTGGCTAGAGTCACTCGGCTGGAAAATGCCACCCCTTGGGGGAGGGACGAGAATTCTGACCAGCTGCCAGGGACCTGGGGACCACCCGGGCCTATCCTGGCTGCAGAGCCCCGCCCCCGACAGTAGAATGCTGAACCTCACCCCACTCCTTCGGCTCCCGCCCCGCCCCGCCTGGGCGCGGCCCCGCCCGATTGGCTGCTCACCGTGACCGCCCGCCAGATCCGCCCCCGCGGGGAGCGAGTCTGCTGAGCCCAAGCGGCAGAGGCACCGGAGCCGAGCCCGGTGTATCTGCCGCCGCCCCTGCAGGCCTGCGCCCCCAGAACCCCGGCCCGATGCCGGCCGAACTCAGACAGGTTGGAGGGAACTCGGTTCCGGGCGGGGGCCGAGGGCACCAGGCCGAGGGCACCATCCTGGGGCCAGCCCCACCGAAGGGCGGGGCGCCAGCCTTCCCCGGGAAGGACCCGCTTTTGTTACGCTGAGCTGCTGGCCCAAAGCAGCTATTGTCTGATCTCCCGGCTGGGCTGCGCGGGACCCAGGGCCAGGCTGGGTGGCAGGAGTGAGCACACTACCCTGGGTTTGTGCAGAATGGGTTGGGGCCTCTGGGTCTCCAGAACTAGCGCGCGGTGTCCCAAGGCAGGTGACCCTGGGTTCAGAAGGAGCCAGGACCTGAGCTGGTTGTTTATATCTCAGCCAGCACCAAGATAGGTGGTGGGGTACCCGGGTAGAGGGCCAGGGCCTCCCTGAGTAGCCCTTCTCTGTGCAGAGGGAGGCTGACTGAGTCTGCAGAGGGAAGTCCAACCAAGCCTCCTGTTTCCTTGGGGCACCCTCCTTTTCCCTTCCCTTCCCTCTCTACCCCTGCGCAGGGTCCTACTCTGGGGACCTACGAGAAAGAGCTTCTGGAGCTTTAATGGAAGCTCTGCCTCAGCAACGCTCATGAGAGGAGGGGTGGAAGCTGGTCCTGCCCATGTGTGGAAGCAGGAGGGGTCTCAGAGGAAAACGGGGCTGGTCGCCTCCCATTACTGAATAGAGTGGAAGGCAGGTGACTCAGAAGTAGGATTCAGTAATAGTCTGGGAAATAGGCTGAATAGAGGAGCAACCCCACATAAGACCCTTTATGGTAGGAGGAGTGTCTCCCACAGCCAGATTTCTGTCTGTTACGCATTTCTGGCTCTGGGGGTCTGGCTACTGACTGATTCAGAAATGGAGGGACCAGGGAGGAATTCGTGGGTACAGTGTAGCTGAGGTCTAGGCTTAGGGAAACTGGGTTAGGTGACTGGCTTGCTCTCCCACCAGATTCCCTTGGCCTTTCAGCCCACTTGTCTAGGGCCATACCCTGACAGGTATATTGCTACTGTGGAAGGTCAACCTTCAGCGGCCATGGGCACCAAAGGAGAGGGTACTTTGTGGTGGCCAAGGTCTGGATGCCTCGTGGGAGATATCAGCCTGACTTGTCCTGTACTCCACCTGGAAGTGTCATACTGAGGGATTCAGAACAATTATTTTTCTAATTTTTTATCCATCCAGGGGTAGCCATTGCTTGCCCTCTGGAGACCTAGCCCAGGAGTTGTAGTCTCTCAGTGTACATTCTCACCTTAACCTGTACCCATTGTTTCCCAGCAGACCTTGCATAGGGTGGGCAGCCCACTTCTGCAGTCTGTTCTTCATGATACAGACTGTGGGTGTGTATCTATAAAGTTCATAGACCTTTGAGCATTGATCTACATCTTGCTTTTCCCTATGTTTCTTGTATCTGGCTATATAGATTGGACTGGCAACCTGTTTCCGGAATCTCTGTATGAGGAAAACAACCCCCAAAGAGGCAGATGCCTCTTGGGGCCCAAAACGCTTGTGCTGTGCTCAGTTGTGTCTGCAGGGATCCTATTGAGAGGTAGTGGGTGGGTCTGCCTCATCAGACACTCTGGCTTCTTCTATAGGCCCAAGGGAAATCATAGGAAACCCCAGATCTGGGCTGCAGCCCCTCTCCAAGCCAGGCCCAGAAGCTATAGACCTGCTGCACCATAGATGGGAGAGCCCCAGGATGAATGTGAGCCCCATAGAACATGGTCCTTCTATGAGGTGAAAGGATAAAGTCAGGACCAAGGAGGAGGTGACAATAAATGATTGGCAGGACATAAGGAGTAGGGGAGGAGAGGGGTATTGTGTCCAGCATGGTGCCAATGTCTGGGCTATAGAGGGGAACAGCCTAGAATCAGGTCTAGGACAAAGGTAATGTGAGGCTGCAGGACAGAGTTCCCTGCAGGCCAGTCTGGGCTGACAGATGTGAATCGTAGAACACCAGAATAGGACACTGGAGCCAGTCAGGGAACCAGGCACCCCATTCAGCCCCCTTTGTCAAGTGTATACTGGTCATTAGTTCACCATCCTATAGATCCTCCATAAAGATGTTGGAGAGGCCTGAGCCATGGAGTTAACGTGGGCATCCCTCTGCTATAAGCTTCAGTGTCTCTATTTGCTGCCAGCTCTGAGAGTCTGTGCTTGGTCCTTGTATGTTGAAAGCATATCTCGAGGCCCCACATGGGTAAGGGTCTGGATAAACCAGTGGAAGACATGAGAATACAGGTATTCTAGCATATGCCTTTGAGAATAGTAGTACTGTGCACTTTGGGTGCTCTTAGAGGTGCCACAAATTTATATGTTTGGACCTGTGAACTAGGCTGGGTGCTCATATACCTATGGACATGCACATGTTCCTGCCTGAGGAATCAGGTACATGTGTCTGTGCATGTTTCCAGATCCCTGTCTGTGTGTGCCTAGGCATGTGTAACAGGGCTGGGCTTTTCGAGTGCCAGCTGACTCATGCTTCCACCTGCCTTGATGAAGTCATTGCCCATTTTTAGCTCCCTGAGGTCATTTGCCAGCAGGGACTCTTGGGTCCTTGGGATCCCGCTGCCTTGCTGCTGATCTCCAATGTTAGTGGTGATACTTTAGAATTGCCACTGATGGCTGGGGGCCCTTGCTCTCCTAACTCTTTCACCCTAACTCTGCACTGTTAGACCCTCACCATAGCCAACTTGGGAGGAGGAAGATGGGCCACAGATTGGTAATGAGGTACCACAATGTCCTTCCCCCATCTCCCAACTACGGGGATCTCAGACCTGGCAGCAAATAGGTAAACTGAAGCTTGTGGTAAGGAAATGCCCAAAGCCATTCTGTGACTCAAACTCTGGAACATCTTTCTGGTGAGTCTGTGGGTTGGTGGGCTCATGAACAGCATGTACTTGACAGAGTGAGCTGATTGGTATGGGCTCAGTTCCCTAGCACCTAGCTAGGGAATATGAGCTCTTCTACTTGTGTTTAATGTATAAAAATCTAAGAGGCCATATATGACTGGCAACAGTCTCCTCAGTCTTGCTCTTCCCCTCTACCTTGTCTCCAGGAAGGCCGCTCCTCTTTCTTAGGCCCCACACAAGAGCTGTGACTAATCTCAGGGCCCTGCACAGAGTTTGAAGCCTGACACGCAGTTACCAGATACACATGGGGAAGCCCAGGCACTAGAAAGGATAGCTGCCCTGTGCCTACTTTTACTTTAGAACCTTCCCATTTTACCCCATTGCTCTTGGGGTAAAAGCCCAGGCCTCCCTCTCAGCACACTACCAATTGTCCCCACTCTGGACCTCAATCTGTTTCTCTTCCCTGGGAACAGGGTCTCTTCTTTCTGGCCAGGTCCCAGCAGACTTTCCACTAAGACTGGGCTGGTGGCCATCAAGGCCTTGTTCCCAAGAGGTAAGGTGTCACTCAAAGGATTCCTTATCAGATAAGTGCCTGAAATCCCTTGGCTAACAATAGTGAGGTTCTGAGTAAGCTTTCTCCCCTCTGCCAAACCTCAGTTTTCCCATCTATAATCTCATCTCTTTACCTTCTGAGGACCTGCTTCTAGGGGAGGGGGGAGTGCATTCTGTGCTATTGCTCTCCTCTTCCTCTTGATCCTGAGGGATGCACTGTCCTAACATATTGGTGCAGGCTCCTACCCAGACCTCTGCACACATGCATTAGGGCCCCTAGGACAGGGCCCTGACGTGAGGCAGATTCCTGTGCCAAAGATCTCAGGAGGAAGGCCCTGAAAACAGCCCTGGGCATTTTGCCTAGAATACCTCCCAAGATGTCACACGCAGCCAGAGTATAGCTCTGGAGCCAGGCAGGTGCAGTATGAATTGCAACCCTCCCTGGACCTCTGCTCAGGATCTGTGCAGGCCTCAAGGGGCCCAGACAGGGAGCACATTCTCTGAGGCCTGGGCCACAGAGTGAGGCATGAACTGCTGACCTGTCCCTGGCTACCCGGGAATGTGCTTCCCCTTTGCCCACCCACAACAGTTTTGATTTCAGTCCCCCTGCCCATCCTGGTAGATGCCAATCCCCGGACATAAGTATGGTGGAACCCTGGGGTACATATGCCCAAAGGCAGATTGGCTTAGGTCTCCATGCCACTCAGCAGAGCAGAACTGGCCTGTCCTCTTTCAGCTTCAGCTTCCCCACTGGCAAGTCCAGCTATTTAGCACATGGATCTCAGAAGGGCATAGTCTAGAGTTGTCCTGCCTAGAATTTCACTGTTGTGTGCCCCCTGCAGGGTGATGGTAAGGTGACTGTAGTGCAAATCTACTATCACTGGTCTCTGATATGACATCTAGAATCTCTGTCAGCTGGGGGCACCAGACATAGGCCTAAGGTGGGGCCAGATCATGCCTTTAAGAGTGTCTAAATGGAAGGATCAAGGATATTTTGGTGCTTTGGACTACAGTACATTCTGAGAGCTGGGTATTTCTGTCTTGTGAGAGCATCTGGCTGGACTTTGCAGGAGACCAGGAGTGGCCACAGGAGACAGTCAGTGCCACTGAAACTGTGATCCCCAGCGTTTATGCATTTATGCATTCCAGGCTTCTGGAGTGCAATAGGGAGGAGGCTGCACAAAACCTTGAGGGTCCAGCCAGGAGTAACAAGTTATATATCAGGAGGATATCCTACATGTCCTATCTAGGATCTCTTCAGGCCTGGAAAAACCTGCAATAGCCAAGGCATTGAAGCTCAGAGAGGCCTGTACCTCTCTAAGCTATTTAGTTGCTAGTGGAACCCAAGGAGGCCCTAGGAGGGGAACCAGGCACCTACACTCCAGGGACATATGAGCAGCAGGTCCTGCCCCCTGATATCTGCCTCTTTTCCCCCAGGAGCAGAGCCCAGGGAGCCAGGCATCACTGGCCACAATGCCGGAGGCACCTGAGGTGCTGGAGGAGACAGTGACAGTGGAGGAGGACCCTGGTACACCTACCTCCCATGTATCCATTGTCACATCTGAAGATGGGACAACCCGGCGCACTGAAACCAAGGTATGGCGGGTGCAGGTGTTAAGAAAGCAAGCAGGAAGCCCGTAGCTCTCCCTTTGTGATGTGGGCATGTGAGCCAGCCCCCTAGGGGCCGCCTGTTTGGGTGGAAAATTGAGGCCACCCTGGCTCTGCTAGGGTACTGCCCAGGCCTCTTGGACTGCCCAGCTCACACACTACCGGCCTATCCACCAGGTCACCAAGACTGTCAAGACAGTGACCACGAGGACAGTACGGCAGGTGCCTTTGGGCCCAGATGGACTCCCCCTGCTGGATGGTGGCCCTCCACTTGGCCCTTTTGCTGATGGCCCTCTGGATCGGCATTTCCTACTGCGTGGTGGTGGTCCAGCAGCCACACTCTCCCGAACCTACCTCAGCAGTGGGAATGGCTTTCCTGATGGCCTTGAGCCCCGTGATGGCCCTAGCTATGGCAGCCTGTCCCGGGGTCTAGGGTTACGGCCCCCACGCACTGGCCCCTTCGGCCCAGGACCTGGTGATGGCTGCTTCACACTGCCTGGCCGCCGGGAGGCCTTCCCTGTGGGTCCTGAGCCTGGACCATCAAGTGGTCGTTCCCTGCCCGAGCGCTTCCAGGCAGAGCCCTATGGCTTGGAGGATGACACACACAGCCTGGCCGCTGATGATGAGGGTGGCCCTGAGCTGGAGCCCGATTACGGCACAGCCACACGGAGAAGAGCTGAGTGTGGGCGGGGCCTTCATGCCAGGTGAGCACCCCATTCCATGTGGCTGCCTCCTTTGGAAATTCTACCTTTTCTACCCAAGCCATAGAATACTCCACAGTCAAGCTGCCGGGGCTGAGTTAGTCATGCACACTTTAGTTTGGATCAGCCTTGACTCTTCTCAAGGACAGCAGCAAGGACAGACCCTGAGATGGTAGATGTTAGTCTGGACAGGAGAGAAGCTGGTGACAGTGCCAGATTCCTGCTTTCTTCCAAACAGATGGCTGTTACTCTGAGCTCAAGGTCCCAGACTATCCCTGTGCTTCAGTCTCTCCCAGGTACCAGAATAATTAGAACCCATTGCCCCTAGTCCTTCCTGTTACAGCCTCTGGTTCTGTCTATATGCCTTGTATGTGCAGAGTGGGAACATAATCACAGCCTGGGTCTGGATTTTTTATGTGACCCTAGGTGAGTTACTTGACCCTCCTAGCTCAGTCCCTACCCTGGGAAGTGGGTTTGATGAGAGCCCATGGGGCTACTGAGAGCAAAGGATATCTCATACTCTGAAGGGCTAGTAGCCTGAATGCCCTTCAGATGGTTCTACTAGAATGACCACATGAAGGGAAAGTCATTTACTTCCCCTACTTCCTGGTACTAGCCAGATGATCTTACAAAATGGGGTGAGATTTCCCACCCACTATCACAGAAAAATATTACATGGAAACACATTTAGTGCAGGATTGGTGATAGGAGTGAGCAAACTCCCCATCCCCAGTGGCCTTTGGCTGGGATTTGGCTCTGTCATTGACTGTGAGTCAGTTCTTGCTTGGTCATGACTTTTTGGCATGGTCAATTCTTGGGCATGACTTTTGGGACCCACTCTATGCTCAGAACTGAGATATAGATTCTGTCAGCCCAGCCCTGCTCTGGGCATTTATAGTCTTCTGGATACTGTGATGGGTAGCTCAGAGGGTAGGACTGGCAGCGGCTGTAAAGATGTTCACTTGCCCTGCTCCCCTGAACAGGGCCTATGAGGATGTAGCAGATGATGCTGGTGAACTGACCGATGAGCGGCCCCTGTACCCAGCAGCAACAGCACCACTGGCCCAGCCAGAGCGGGGCAGTCTGGGCAGCCTGGACCGGGTGGTACGTCGCTCACCCTCAGTGGACAGTGCCCGCAAGGAGCCACGCTGGCGGGACCCTGAGCTACCTGAAGTGCTGGCCATGCTCCGGCACCCTGTGGACCCTGTGAAGGCCAATGCAGCTGCCTACCTGCAGCACTTGTGCTTTGAGAATGAGAGTGTCAAGAGACGTGTACGGCAGCTGCGTGGACTGCCACTACTTGTGGCATTGCTAGACCACCCTCGGGCTGAAGTGCGCCGCCGGGCCTGTGGAGCACTGCGCAATCTCTCCTATGGCCGTGACACCGACAACAAGGCTGCAATCCGGGATTGTGGCGGTGTGCCTGCTCTGGTGCGCCTGCTGCGAGCAGCCCGTGACAACGAGGTCCGTGAGCTGGTCACTGGTGAGTGGGACCTGGTCATGCCTACTTCCCCCAGGAAGAAAGGAGAGCAAGGCTCAGCCTGCAAGGGGTGAGGCCACCTGGGGGAAAGCACCCAGGAGGTCAGGAATTCCAGCTGCTGGGACTGTTTGCCCTGGGAGTGGGCATCCAGCCCAGATGCTGTGACAGATTCCCAGTCTCTATTATCATAGGCAGGGGTGCTGGTACCAGGACCCACCTTCCTGGTTCCCACCCCATGATAGTAGGGTAGTAGGGTTTGTGTCTTGTAGGACTTGAAGGAGTAGGCAGGGTCACATGACCATCTCTGTGTATGGCCTGGTGGCCTCAGGAACTTTGTCCCACCTACCTACATAGCAGGAATGGGTAGGAAGAGATGACACATGCCAGGCCCCTCTGAAGCCCAGCTCTTCCCTCCCAACTGGAAGCCACCTTTAGGTGCTGCCTGCTTATCTTGCCTAGGCCAGGATGGTCTTCCAGAACCTCTCCTGGCTTTTTATTATTTTCTAACTTTTTGTGCAAGCTAGAGTGTAGCTCAGTCTTAGTGTGCTTGCCTAGCATGTACTAAGGCCCTGGTTCAATCCTCAGTCCATAAAAAGAAAAAAAAAAAAAAAACCTATACTGATTAACTGTGTAAAGCTGGGTACTTTGACTTATGCCTATAATCCCATCTACTTGGGAGACTGAGACAGGATTTCAAGTTCTGGGCTAGCTTCTGCAAAGAACTGGGGTTGTAGCTCAGTGGTAAGTGCCCCTGGGTTCAATTCCCAGTATTAAACTAAACCAAACCAAATAAAAAATTCCTATGTGGACTGGGGAACAAGGGTGGGGGCAGGTCCTGAGCATAGTCCCCAGGGGAGGCAGGGCCCAGTAGTCAGCATGGTTGGTCGGCGGCGCCCTGCAGGCACACTCTGGAACCTGTCATCCTACGAACCCCTGAAGATGGTCATCATTGACCATGGCCTGCAGACACTGACCCATGAGGTCATCGTGCCCCACTCGGGCTGGGAGCGAGAGCCCAACGAGGACTCCAAGCCCCGGGATGCTGAGTGGACGACTGTCTTCAAGAACACATCAGGCTGCCTGAGGTGTGGGTAGGGGCTGGGCTCAGGCTGTTTCCACAGTATGACTGGGTATTCAATTAGGGAGGCAGAAACAGGTGCCAGAGACTGCACATACACCAAGGCCCTGTCCTGGTGGGTAACCATGTTCTCAAAGTCCCAGAGAGCATGGAAGACAGTGAACCACCTGAATCTTAGGAGTTTCAGAGCCACATCACAAGTCCTGTTGATGGGAAGTAGGATTGATGGGAGATATCTTCACCCCCAAGGGCAACCTCTAGACAGGGACTCCCACCTTTCCTATAATGTCCAACCACTCTAGCTCTGCCCATTGTCCCATCACCATGATAGCTAGGGAGTAGGAGCAAGATCCTTGTGTCCAGTTGCCTCTGAGTCTTATCCCTTCATGTTTATGACCTTTGCTCTTCCCCTCCTATCTCTGGGAGTCCTTCTATAGACTCCACAGGCATGATCCATCAGGTCCTGCCCCAATGGTCCTGTGGGGTCCAGACCTCTCAGTGTGAAGCCTAGTGCTGCCGCTGGGATGCAGGGGCAGAATTACCATGCACTGGTGGATTCAGGCCTCCTTGGGTCCCTCTTTGGCCCTTCCTAATTAAACTGGGAGTCAGGGAAGACCCCTTATGCCCAACAGATATGTTGAGCTAAAGCAGCCCACCTCCTGGAGTTGAAGATGTCAGGACTTCCTGCCCCTCCTTCACTGTGCATCAGGTTTTGGTATACTATCCCAGTGGGACTGTTATGGCAGCAGCAGGGCCAATTGTACAGATGAAGACAAGCCCTTTGGGCCAGGGTTGGGGCTGGAGAAGTTCTTACCGGGGTTAGGGGGTCACCAGGCCTGCTCTCTGGCAATACAGGAATGTGAGCTCAGATGGTGCTGAGGCCAGGCGACGGCTCCGGGAATGTGAAGGACTGGTGGATGCGCTCCTGCATGCCCTGCAGTCAGCTGTGAGCAGAAAGGATACAGACAACAAGGTGGGCAGGGCAGGGACAGTCTTGGCAGCCTCCTTCCAAGGATCAAAAACTGGATGGTGTAGGAATGGGACCCAGGGGTCTAGAACTGTCTGGGGTGGCCCAAAGGGGCATGGGTGTGGATCTGGACATGACCCCCACCTGGTAGTGGCCACACTGGGAAGAAGGCATGGTCCTACTGATGGCAAGTGCTCCCTAATATAGGGGCTTCCTCTTGTAGCCCCTCCGTGGCCTAACTGTGGCCAATCTTTCCTGAAAGCTAGTTCCACACACAGGGTCATGGGATGGTCAGCAATCCCCAGACCCCGTGGCCCTGCCCCACCAGGTCACCTTTCCCCACAGTCTGTGGAGAACTGCGTGTGCATCATGCGAAACCTGTCCTACCATGTGCACAAGGAGGTGCCTGGGGCTGACAGGTACCAGGAGGCTGAGCCTGGGCCCCCAGGCAGTGCTGCAGGCTCCCAGCGCCGGAGGAGGGATGACGCCAGCTGCTTTGGTGGCAAGAAGGCCAAAGGTGGGTGGGTGAGATTGGCATGCTCCCCCTAGACCCTATTCCCTGGGCTAAAGTCTCTCATATCCATGACAGACAACCACAAAAGATGGAGGACATCCGGTCAGTCCTCCATGGGCAGGTGAGGAAGTAGGGAACTGCCGCGGGTCACACAGCTAACAGGCCAGGGTTCACACCCAAGCCTAGTCTTCACCCTGTGCTGTGAGCCCCCCAGAAAAGTGTTCATGTTGTCTACTACTGCCCAAACTCTGTCCCTTAACTCTAGGAAAGGGTTCTGTTGGCTTGTGAATTTGGAAAGTGCCATAGGTGACACCCCCTCATCATTTAAAGAGCACCTACATGTCTTGACAAGCCCTGCAGGTATACCCCACTCCAGCTGGGCTAGGCCTCTGCTGCACACTGGCCCCTTAGGTACCTGGGGGTTGCAGTTTCCAGGAACCTGCATCCCCCACCAGTTGTAGAACAGTGTACCTCCTTCACCTGCCCTGCTGATCCCAGGTCCTCCCTTGCATGTGCCACTGGTGAGTTCTCAGCCCCAAAGAGTAATTGGGACAAGGTTCTTACTTGGTCCAAGGCACGCAGTGGGAATCTGAGGGCACAGGGAGGGTGCCACCTGCTCAGGCTCATCTCCTCTCTCCTGTGCTTCCTCCGGCCGCCCAGAGGAATGGTTCCATCAAGGTGAGTTCCTGTTTGTCCTGCTGTCCAGGCCTGGCAGGTGCTGTAGCATCAGGGAGATGTGTGTCCCCATGGCTCAAGACAATTTTCTATGACGTCTGCAGGGCAGTGGGTACAATGAGCTCTTGGGATGCCTTCCAGCTTCAAGGCCCTGTCCCACCCCCAGTCCCATGAAAAGGCAGCCATCTCCATGACAACTACATGGACTTGACAAAGGCAGGAATGTGAGCTGTGGACTTGTGGGGAGCCTGAGAGGGAATACCCTCTGTAACATCAGACTCAGTTACCTAAGCAGGGCCAGGGCAGAGCAGAAAGTATGCAAGGCCTGGGGTATGTCTATTACTCAAGAGGGCAGAATGTGCCCCTATAATGTGGCTTAGTTGTCCCATGAGGATGGGCAAGGCAGGAACCTCAGGTCATTTGAGCTTGGCTTACTGCTTTCCAAGAGGAAGATGGCTAGAGGCACTGAGTTATTGTCCTGAAGGTGTGCAAGCCAGGGCTGTACAAGAATTTGGTAGGGCCACTATAGGAACCCAGCCTGGGTATGGGGGTTCTGGTTCGTAGAGGCTATGTTCATGTTCTGGTCCCTGACTAGGAGAATTTTCCCCTTAGATGGGACTTGACCCCTGTCAAGTCCCATCTAAGTACTGTCCCTGTCAGTTTCTCTATGCTTGTATCTAACTGCTACCCAGCATGGGCTCCTGTTTCCCTTATTTCATGCAAGGAAGCCATGAAGAGGTCTGTGGTACATTCCCAGAACCTGATGGAAGGTGAGGACTAGGTCCCCAGGGCAGGGCTGGGATGTCCTTAGGCCCTACCTCCCTGACCCAGACTAAAAACTCAGAATAAGTACTTCACACTCAGGGCCTCTCAGTGCCCAGGCCTGGACATTAAGGTTGTTTTTGATCTCTGGGCAGGAGAGGACGATGCCTAATCATCCTGATATACTCTTATGCCCCATGAAGACTTCCTCCCCTCACACTGCTTTTCTGTTTCAGGAAAGAAGGATGGTGAGATGGACCGAAACTTTGACACATTGGACCTGCCCAAGCGAACTGAGGCTGCAAAAGGTAAGTGGGAAGAGGCAAAGCCAGAAGTGGCCATGAGTACTTGGTGGGGCTGTATGAGCTGGGGAAGCCTAGTGCCATCAAGCAGGCTTGAAGAGTCTGAGGGGATCATTCAGACAGAGAAATGGGCCCATATGTATGGGATTTCATGGAGGGGTCCAATCCCTGGGCACCTTGGAAGGGCTCAGAATCAGGATCAATATCACAGGTAATTTCAGGTAGGGTAGATGGGAAGATACAGGCCAGGCTCTGCTCAGTCACTCAGCAGGTAAAAAAGGCCAGTCAGAGGGAAGGTAGGGCTTTCAGTATATTCCATGGGGGTTGGGAGCCAGTAGGTCATGGACTAGAGGGCTAGGACCCAAGAATGCCCCACTTATGGACTCATGCAGGGACAGGGTTGTTCACCCTTCATGTCCCCTGTCCTCTGGATTCGTATATATGGATTGGCCTTGTTTGCTGCACTCAGAACTAGCTTGTGAAAGAAAACATTGCCCTGCAAGCTAGAAGAACCCAGATGCCCCCAAGTTGAGTAGAAGGACCCAGCCATGGGTGGGTATGTGTGATGTGGGGCCATACCAGGCAGAGCAACAGGGCCTTAGAGGAGAATGCTTGGAGAGTTTGGGGAGTAGTAAGCCCAGCTAGAGTAGAGGGAACATGAGACTTGAGGACAGGGGAGTGGTGATGAAATGTGAGAGGATAGGGGAAAGGGAAGTAATGTCTTAGAGCCAAACAGAGCCCAAAGTAGGGACAGGCAGGCTTGGAATGCTGCCTCCACCTCTGACTCTGGAGCCCTTTGCAGGGCACCATCTTAGGGCAGCCATGATCACAATCTGAGACCTTAATTACTGGAGCTCTTAAGAGTGGTTGGCAGGAAAAGCAGGCCCTGTTGCTAGGGCAGGCCCCTTGTTCACAGATTCATTTGCATTTGGGTTGGGTGGAAGGTCCTGTTTCCAGGGAGGGTGGTCAGGTGCCCTGGCCTGGTGGGGCTTATTGTTAGTGGCATGTCCTGGTTGTCACCTCCTTTCCCCAAAGTCCCCTGCTATGCTCAGGCTGCCAGGCAGATCCAGTCCCATTTCTTTGGCAGCACGGTTGAGGAAGGAATGTCCTCACCCAAACCTATTACCTTCTGAGTAAGCCTGTTTGCCTCTCTGTGAAATGGGAACATTTTCCTCTTTGGGTGGCTATAGGGTTCAATTCATTGATAGAAAACATGTCCTGACTCCTCCACACTCATCCCTGGCCCCAGTTCACCACAGCTTTAGGAGTAAGGGTAGGGGGTTCTGGATGACTATGGGCTCTGGTTGTCCTTGTACCCAGGCTTTGAGCTACTATACCAGCCAGAGGTAGTACGCCTCTACCTCTCCCTCCTCACGGAGAGTCGGAACTTCAACACCCTAGAAGCTGCAGCAGGTGCCCTACAAAACCTCAGTGCCGGCAACTGGATGGTAAGGGGCCAGTTTTGGCAGGAAGAGCATGACCTGGACAGGAAGGGAATTTCCCTAATCCCTGCCCAAGCTGGAGGGTGGTTGGGGGGAGGTGAGATACAGTGTGACTCCCCAAGGTCTGGGAGGTTCAGGGTACACACCTTGGGTGGTACAGGTGGTGCTGAGCTATTGGGGCAGGACTTTATGAGGAACCACCCCTCGCTGAGCAACCCACCTCCCTGCCCCCACCGCCACAGTGGGCCACATACATCCGTGCCACAGTGCGCAAGGAGCGTGGGCTGCCGGTGCTGGTAGAGCTACTGCAGTCTGAGACTGACAAGGTGGTGCGTGCTGTAGCCATTGCATTGCGCAACCTCTCCCTGGACCGTCGCAACAAAGACCTCATCGGTAAGGACGTTGACAGGGCCAAGGTGTAGAACCACGAAGGCCTTTCACTTCTGGTTTGAGGTGGGTAGTTTGGGAATCCAGGCCCTGCCCTTGTGTCTTGGGCTGGTTCCAGCCAGCTACAGGAACTCACTGTCTTCTTGGCCCATTCTCCGAAGCTCAGCCCCCTGCTCTTAGGGGTCCTTGTGGTGACCTGGGGGCCTTCCTGGCAATGCCCCTTGCCTCAATCCTGCTCCTTCCCACACAGTTGAGCAGAGGTTATCTATGTCCTAACACCCAACCCTGCCTCTTAGGGAGCTACGCCATGGCAGAACTGGTGCGGAACGTGCGCAATGCTCAGGCTCCAGCTCAACCCGGAGCCCGCCTGGAAGAAGACACAGTGGTTGCTGTTCTGAACACCATCCATGAGATTGTGTCCGACAGCCTGGATAATGCACGCTCACTCTTGCAGGCCCGTGGCGTGCCTGCGCTGGTGGCGCTAGGGGCCGCCAGGTGGGTAGGGGTGGGGACCAGGGGGTGGGAATGGGGCCAGGAGGTGGGGTTGGGAGACTCTAAGGCCCCAGGGACTTATGATCCTGCCTCTGATCCTGCTGCAGCCAGTCGGTTCGGGAGGCAAAAGCAGCATCACATGTGCTTCAGACTGTGTGGAGTTACAAGGAGCTACGTAGTGCCCTACAGAGGGATGGCTGGACTAAGGCTCGCTTTCAGGTGTGGTCCACCCTGGCCTTCCCTCTCCCATTTTACCATGTCAGGTTTCCAAGAGCGCTGCTTCCCACCTCACCCCCTGTTTTGTGTCTCTTTAAGTCGGCTGCTGCAGCAGCCAAAGCACCCAAGGCAGCTTCTAGTCCCGGAGGCTTCGATGACAGCACGCTGCCTCTAGTAGACAAGAGCCTTGGTAAGTACAGGCCAGAGGAAGAGGTGGATGGCACAAGAGTCCATCCCTAAGGCTCAAGAGTGGCTCCCCACCTGTGTTGATCGTGACAAGGTTGGGGGTGGCCCCTTTCCCTGCTCTCATCCTCCTGGGTATTTCCTTCCCATGCTGTCTACATTGGCACCAGGCTGGGTGGTGGGTGCCTAGAAGCTGGGCTGAAGAATGCAGTGACATTAATGATAAGAGCACCCAAGGTCACTGAGGTCAGTCCTATGATGGGCTTATCTGCCTTGGTCATCTCTCCATACCCAGCTGCTTGTCCTTTCCTTGTAACCAGCTACCTGCTTATGCCTTCCAGATGGTGAGAAGCCAGGCAGCCGGGATGTGATCCCCATGGATGCCCTTAGCCCAGGTGAGGGCAGGTGCTGTGAACTTGTTTCCTCCTCAGGGAGGAGGGAGGGCCCTGAGACAGTCCTGCTGGTTTTATGGGGTAAGTGTGGTTAGTGCTGGGAAGAACTTCCATGGATCTACTCCCTGGAGAAGATTTGGTTCAGGGATACCCAGGGAATATAATGCAGTGCTGGTGAGAGCTGGCACCAGGACAGGTCTCCAAGGATCTGGTAGGTGGGGATCCTCTGCAAAAGCTCCCTGTCCAGGGGGTCTCCTGAGTTTGGCCTGAGAGGAGCGAACTTGTTCCTAGAGTGCCTGCTCCTCAGAGCTCTCCTCATGCCCCACCAACCCTAACCTACTCCACAGATGGATATTCCACCGTGGACCGGAGGGAGCGGAGGACTCTGGGTAGTGACTCCTTAGGGGAGGCCTCAGAGAAGGAACCATTAAAAGTAAGTGATTGTGGGCAGGTGACCAGGGAGGCTGTATGTCTAGGGCTTGTCCAAGGAGCAGCTAGGTAGTACTCAGTTTGATCTGGTCCCTGGGGCATGACTAGGGTGACATTCATCCATGGACAACTGGGAGGTGGAAACAAGCCTGGGAAGCAGCCCTTCACATCAATCAGCCTTTGGGTGTTGGGTTCAGAGCTTCACCTGCTGGGAGGGAGGAGAAAGGGAATAGAGCTCCACCTAGCCACACACTGCACTGGACTGGAGCCTGAGAAAGTGAGTCTGCGTCCTTCTCTGCATGCATGTGTATGGTCCATGCCATGGTCCGGTGGAGAGTGCAGCACCCATCACCTGCTCTGTACCAGTCCCTGGCTTTTTGTGAAGGCCTTTATGTGTCCACATGCCACCTAAGCCTATGTGAGCCATGCCAGCTGAGTTGCTCCATACTGCCTTGGCAGGCCCATCCTCACACTCCCCTGGCCCTGACCCCACTGACCAGCTCAGCCCCACCCTTCAGCTGCAACTAACGTGCTTTGTTCTGCCTCTGCCATTGTCCTGCCTACCCACCCACCCATCCATCCACCCCACCCATCTGTGTGCTGCAGCCTGACCCCTGCAGGAAGGCCCTTCTTCCCGGGCCCAGCAGGCCTTCGGTCAGGCTGGTGGACGCCGTGGGGGACACTAAGCCTCAGCCCGTTGACTCCTGGGTCTAGCTTGCATGCCTGGTATGTTCTCTTGTCTGGTTGTTTGTCCAACTGTTTTCCTATCCTCTGGGCAGGGCATCTTGTTAATCTCTGTTGGCCGCATGCTCTGCTCTCCCTGTTGCTCCCTGGCAAGACCCAAGCTGCCAGCAGGCACAGCAGGCCCAAATGTCCATCTTAGGGAAGGCCAGACTGAGGTCTGAGCAGGGATCTTCCCAGGGCCCATAGCCTCATCCTGGGCACTGTGAAATCAAGGTCCTGAGGAGATTAATCCAGAGCAGGGGGTGGTCCCTCATAAGCCTTAAATTCCTCTAGCACAGGACTCCACCAGGTCCAACAAGTCAGGATTGGTCCTAGTGTCAAGTCCCTGGGGGTTGACCCCTACCTCCTGATCCATAGTAGTTGCTTTTGTCCACATCTGCATTCACATGGCCAGTGACCTCTGTCCAGAGGTTGCAGTTGCTCTGTCCCATTCATTTGGTTCTGGCCACTTTTTGTGCTAGTGGTTGCAGCATCTTTCTTCCTTCCATCTCCCTCTGCAGGGCCTGGACCCAACCATTTGTTCTTAGGGATCACCAGAAGGGCCATCCTGAGCAGACCCTGTCGTGGAGCTTGGAGCCCCCTGGCGGCAGGGGTTGGCTGAGACTCTCACCCGGAACCAGAGCCTTTCTGGACACCCCTCCTGACCCACCCTGTCCATTCTTCCCTCTGCTCTCCCGACCTAACTCCCTAGGCCAGAGTTAGCTATTTACTGACATGGTGCTGTGTGTGGGCAGGGGTGGGGACCAGTGAAGTGGCAGGGGAGGGTAGCTGGTTTTGCTTTGGAAGAACAGGAGAGAGCACCCTGTGTGCCCAGTGCCCCAGAGGAACAATATGGAACTGGGGTGCAACTCCTGGGGACAGGTAGCCAGGCAGGGAGGGAGGGGCTTGGGAAAAGAAGTTGGTCCATGGAGAACGGAGGCACTCCCCTGGCTGAAGCCCTACCCTGCTTAGAAAGCAGACTGCAGGCATGGGGCTACTCCAAGAGGGCTAACCCAGGCAGGGGATTAGCAAGATGGAAGTCAGGCTATGCTTGCCCCTCCACCACTCCTTGGGATCTGTGGATGTGTGGGATCCCTATATAGTGGAACTCTTCCCTGAGCTGCCTCTAGCTGGGGCTGCCATGGCTGCCACATCTGCATCTGCCCAGAACCTCAATAACCTCCGGGACTGACCTCTGGCAGCAGCCCCCAAGGGAATGCTGTTCAGTGCCTGCTGTTTGTGACTTAAAAACAGAAGAAAAACACTGACAAAAAGCATTAAAAACAAAACCAAAATAAGATTGTATTGGTAAACATCTAAATTTTTGTAAGAAAATTTTAAAAAGCAACAAAGAACTTTCTGTTTTGTGTGGCTCCGCTTCTTCTTCCCAAGCCACTGGGCTTCTCTTTCAGCCCTGGATAGGTAAAGGCTGACCAGTGCAGACTCTGCTCCTGCTCTTTGGGTATTTCTCCATATCCATTCATCCTGGCTACTTGCTAATTCCTGTTCTCTATGCTCAGAGGAGTGGGCTGCTTATGGGTGGTTAGCTGGCCCCAAGACCAGGAATGGGCACAGGTGAGCTCAGCTTAGACAGGGTTTATATTTGTGTCCAGTATAGGAACTGGGATCCTGCTGAGGTGGCCAGTAATCTGATCACTTGGAGGAGTTGGGGCCTCAGAGCTAAGGTCGAGGCTGGAGCAGTTCTAGATTTAGGCATACACAAATCAACTCTGCTTCACCACTTGGTACCTAGGCAGCCAGAAGAACTACTCTGGCTAGGCTAAACCTGCCTTCCTTTACTTTAAACCAAGCTGACTGGGACTAGGAAGGAACATACTCATTCATATTCAGTGCCTCATGTCCAGAGAGTCAGGCACTTTGCATAGCCCTGTGTTCACCTCTACCTAGTACCTGCTTAGAGATGGGTAAAGGCTGGCCAATTTTTCTGTTTTTTTTTTTTTTGGTAATACTTGAACAAGGGTGGCATCTACTTCAATGCTATGGCCAGGAGTCCTAGGCTGGGTGTGATACACAGGATCCAGCCAGTCATGAGCCCAGCCTGTAGCATTAGCATTCCATCAAGAGGAACTTGGCATGTTTGGTTTTAGCAAAGGGTCCTGGGAAAGAGGGAGCAGTGTGGCAGTTGAGAAGAACTGTACTCAGTTATCTTGTATCTAAATATTTAATCTTTCTTTTTTTTTTTTTTTTTGATACTGGGGATTGAGCTTAGGGGTGCTTGACCACTAAGCCACATTCCCAGCCCTCTTTTGTATTTTATTTAGAGACAGGGTTTCACTGAGTTGCTTAGTGCCTCACTGTTGGTGAGGCTGGCTTTGAACTCATGATTCTCGCGAGCCATTGGGATTACAGGCATGCACCACTGGGCCCAGCGTTTAATTTTTAATTTCTATTTTGTCCTTTAAACATTATTTTAGTATAAGATTATTGCAGCTAGCCAATTTTAGTAAAGCAGTTATGATTCATTCTTAAAAAGAAAGTGAAAATTCAGGAGTCCAAAGTATGTAAGAGTTGTTAATTCTGATAGTTACTGAGGCTTTGCTGCCACCTACTGACAGCAAGCCTTGAGGACATCCTGAGTGGAAGGCACAGCAGTTTGTAAATGTCTGACTTCCACACCCCTTTCTGGGTCTAAAGGAGGTGTCAGTGCCTGAGGACCATGTAGAAACCCTATTGGAATTCCACTTGCTGGTCAGTGACACCAAAGATACCACCTGCCCCAATTTGGTCTGTGTGTGTGTGTTTGTGGTGTGTGTTGCTGAGGATGGAACCCAGGGCCTCACTAGGCAAGTGCTCTGAGCTATATCCCCACTACCCTCAATTTAGCTTTGTCAGCAGTATTTTCACACAATGAACCTACTCTATGGAGTGTGCCAGAGTGTGACAATCTGGAACTGCAACACAGAGAGGTCACTATATGGGCAAGGCCCAAGCCTTACAGGATTTGAGTACAGTTCTCAGAATTACTGAAATGGCATTAGTAGAAGTTTGTCTATCTTGCCCTTTGGAGGACCAAGCTTGTCAGGGGAGCCCAGAGCAGGATAGACAATCAAGGCTGAACTAGACTGCTTGGGCCCTTGTAGATGGCTTTCTCGAGGCCATCCACCACCTTCATGTATTCCAAATATGAGCTGTAATGTGTGCACTCAAAGCTGTTGCTCGCACGCACATATGCCAGATATTCGGGTGTTCCTGGGACGATGACATTGTCAGCCAAAAGTACTGTCCCCTTCCGCAGCAGGCCACATTCCTACAGAGGATAGAAAGATGGAGTAATGAACCTATTATACTATGGAGCTAGGAAAATTCACCCCAAACAAGGTGCTCCTCCCCAAGATGCTGCTTCATGCACTGACCTATGCCTCACCCTGGGGACCAGGTCTCTCTCACTCCCTCATTTTCTCCCCAGAGCAACCAGTGTCAGAAAGGGTTGTGTTAGGTCCTAGTCCTGTGTCTGGAACATCAGCTTTCTGAAATGATGGGACCTTGTAACTTTTTGATCCTCTTTTCTTTTTCTTTTTTTTTGTTCATGGTACTGGAGATCAAATCAAGGGCCTTACATATACTAGGCAGATGCTCTGCCACTGAACCACATCTCCACACTTCCATTCACTCCTATATCCAACTCAGTCCCTAGAAAAACATGTGACACACAGCAATAAATCCCCATCAATAAATGCTTACTGGATGAGGAAGTAGAGGAAATGCTGGAACCAGAGCATGCTCCTGAGATAACTAGTTCTAGGAACACAAGCCCCTACAAGGGAGAGGAGCCCTAGGTAGCTTAGGCTGCTGATACAACCATCACAGACAAGAGCTGGTGACCCTGCAGGATTGGGGGGCAAGTTGATCTTGCCACTGACAAGCCTACCCACTTCTCTGGATATCCCAAGGTTCCTGCCTTTGCAGATCTCTATTCCACCAATATTGGGGATGTGGGAAGATACAGGACTGTCTGCAGGATGAAGGAGTCATTATTGAACATGCTGTGACAGGTGGTTGCCACCCAGGGTCTGCCGTCAGATGAAAAACTCCATAAAATGTTTTGTTTAAGCTGAGAGGTAGATCTGCACACATCAGAAAAATAAATATATAAATATTTATAAATAATAAAAGAGAAACCTGAGTGGAAGTGTATCCTGGTGGGGAAAGAGGCTGTGAAAAAGGTTCCCCAGACACATCTTGGAGTTGAGTTTGGAAGCATGGAAGGTTGTTGGTTTTTTGTCTCCCTCACCCTCCCCACATAATTACAAAATAAAACTTAAAAAGCAATTTTAAACATTGAAAGGAAAAACAAGCAACCCAGATTGGAGTATTGCCCAGGCCTGGGTTTTATCCCTTGTACTGTAAAACAACAACAACAAAGCCAACATAATGGGCACACACCAATAATTCCAATGACTTGAAAGGCTAAGGCTGTAGGATCGCAAGTTTGAGGCTAGCCTGGGAAACTTGGCAAGACTCTTATCTCAAAAAGGGCTGGGAATGTAGCCTGGTGGTAGAGCACTTGCCTAACATGTGTGCGCCTCCGGGTTCAATTTTGCCAAAACAACAACAAAGATAAGTGACCTTGGGTATCTCATATCAGAGGCAGGAGAGGGTCTCTCACTTGAAAATGACAGATGTCACTCTGCACCTCTGCAGGGATGTGCTGCCCTATGTTCAATAGCCACACAGCATTTTCAGCTGTGGAAGTGGTGGAGGGCAGTCTTTTTCAGCCTGTTGGCAGTGGGAGAAAGCCAAGGGAGCCCTCAGGCTACAGTAGTAGAGGACATAGTTGTAAGGTCACTTAGGTCAGGGGACAACCCCATGATCTGGAATTTGCAAAGGAAGTACACTATCAATCATGATGTATTTTCTCTTAGGGGGAAACAAAAAAAAAGAATGTCCTAGCAAAGTTAGCTGAAAATATCTAGAACAAAGAACTACTCAGAAGGAGGGCACCTGGGCTAAGGCACCAGGAAAGGGCAGGAAATATACAAAATGAGCAGGAAGCCTGGGCCCCTAGAGTTTTAGGGTCAAGCAGAGACTCAGGGGTCAACCTCAAGAGATACAAGCTAACCTTTAGTAAGACCAATGATACCAAAATTTCATGAGTTCATCATGTCATAAAGGAAGAGTGAAGTGTTGGTCACCTTTGGAGGTGCTAGGGGCCCAATGTCCTTTAAGAAACTGGTCAAGAAAAAAAAAGTTAGGCTACGATTGTAGCTCAGTAGTAGAGCACTTGCCTAGCAAATGTAAGGCATTGGGTTTAATCTTCAGTACCACATAAAATAAATAAAATAAGGGTATCGTATCCATCTACAACTAAAAAAAAAAAAAGGTGTCTCTCGCCCTCTAATTTCTGAGTTTAGAGAAAGCCAGCCATCATGTTGGGATTTTCAACCAGCCCTATGGAGACATGCATATCATAAGGGCCTGCAGCCTCCTCCTCCAAGCAGCCACATGATTTTGAATTGTCACCTGTCCCTAAGCCCCTTATTCCTCTGATGCTTACAGAACCAACTAAGCTGAGGGGATGGCTGGGCCTCCACATTTCAGGTTGGCCCTGACCCTGCACAAGGCAGGGGGCAAGAGTCTGTATGCTTAAAAAGTACAACCATTCCCAATTTATGCCTTCTCTTCTTTTGAGATAATTACCAGCTTTGAACAGCAGCACTGAGAAAACTATTACTTTCCTAGTTAATAAACTGCAATATTCATATTTTTCCAAAAGCAGGCCCCTGTAATTGATCACACACTAAGTACTGCTGAAATCCATTCCCTGTAATGCAGACCTCCCCATGATATGTCTCTCCTACCCAAGTAAGGCTCCTCTGATTGATTGCCTGCTCTCTGCCTTCAATATCCAATTTCTTCACCCTTTGCCACAGGTGGGCTTCCTATACCCAGATGAAGTGTCTGAAGCTACCCTATCCTGGCCTGCAGGTCCCTTCCTGTTCCCCACTGCTTGCCCCCCCTTTGCAGGTACTCTGGTCCAAATTCCAGTTACTTCCTAACCTCTTGAATTGCAGAGCTTAGAACTTCCAAAATGCCTTTGAGCAGTCTCTGAAATGCTCTCCCAATGTCACCCCTCTCTATGTCCCATAGAGCCAACAGGGATCCTTTCAGATGCTCAAAGCCTTCCATGTCTCAGAACACACTGTGCCCTTTCAGGCCTCTGCTAGTGTTGGCCCCTTCCTATCTGCATCCAGGTCACAATGGCACTGCCCTGCTAGGGCTTGGTGACCAAGCCCCCCATACTTGGGGTCTTGCTGCTCAAAGCAGGGTATCCAACTGCTAGGACAACTGCAGAAGAACAACAAACAGAGGAACAATATGGGACAACCCCATGCTGGTTACACCACACAAGGAGGTCAGGACAGGGCCAAGGAGCTCCTCAGTGTCTCCTAATAGGCCACCTAGGAGGGCCAAGATAAGTATATCCCCAATGGAAGCCCTTTAAAAGTTAGTTCATTAGGGGTTGTCCAATGACCCAAGTCCCAGCCACTTAGGGAGCAAGGATGTCCATCCCCAATCACTTGCAAGGTGAGTCTGGGTGAGCAGCAGCAGCACTGAGGGCTGGGAAGAGTCTGGGAGGAGGAGCCTGAGGGAATCAGGGACTGTACAATAGAAACTTCGAGAGAGAGATTTTTTTTTTTTTAGCTTTAGGTGGACACAATATCTTATCTATTTTTATGTGGTGCTGAGGATCAAACCCAGTGCCCCACGCATGCCAGGCGAGCGCGCTACTACTTGAGCCACATCCCCAGCCCAAGAGATAGATTTTTAAGGACACACTGGTTTCCCCAGAGCCAGTACCAATAGATACCCAATTGGCAAAGTGGCCGTGGCCCCTAGAGCTGCTCTTCCTATTTCCTCAGCTTTGTGCCCTTTCCACCTGGGCTTTCTGGCCCCTATTTTCCCAATGCAGGCAATCTGACCCCCAAGCTTCCAATGGGTTATTTTATCTGATCCCTGATCCAGCAACCCCTTTCCTCCCATCTCCACCTGCCTCAGGGCCTCCATGGTTGTTTGCTTTCCCTGACCTTAGGTGGCACCCTAGGTGTAATTCAATGCCTATTATAATTTGGATATAGAATGTCCCCCAAAGGTTTGTGTGTTGAAGGCTTGGTCCCTAACTGGTGGCACCACTGGCAAGTGGTAGAAACTTTAGGAGGTGGAGCCTAATTGAAGGAAGCAGATAACTGGGGCTGTGTCCTTCAACAAAATATCTTTCCCCAGCCCCTTCTCCCCTTTTCTCTTTCTTTCCCACTCCACCAAAGTGCTCCCCTTTATGATGTTCTGCCTCATCACAGGCCTAGAATCAATAGAGCCAAGTGATCATGGACTGTCACCTCTGAAATTGTGAGCCAAACTAAAATCTTTCCTCCTCTAAGTTGGTTTTCTCAGGTATTTTGTCACAGTGTTGGAAAACTGACTGACATAGTACCCAAAGCTGTCTATGTCCCCTGGACTTCCCCCAGCAGGATATGGCCAGGGTACATGGATCTTCAGAGGCAGAGGTCAACCGACCTGGTCAGTTGGTCCCAGTAGCCCCTGAAGCAGCAGTCAACCTAGGAGCCTGTTCTAGTGAGGCATGTGTAACTCACCTCCAGGAGGAGTGTGTCTGGCAGGTATCGGTCCTTCCAGTGGTCAAGGAAGACCATGTCCAATGTGTCCACATCATACTTCTTCTTCAGCTGAGGGATGAGGTCATGGGATGCCCCAACCAGGACAGTGACCTAGAACAGTGTATTGGTGCTGTGCCCTGAGAACACATAAGAGCTCCCTACCCCAATCCCTGCAACCACCCCACCAGACACCACAGATTTTGTCTCCCATTAGTTTTCTTTCAGATTATGAGGTTTTGCCTGCTCCCTCCTGGGGAAGCCTTGGGAATTTCCAAGCAATACCACTCTTCCAAAGCTGCTGGGCATTCCTTTCATGACCCCAGACTTGGAAAGCACCAAGAAGCCAAGGCAAAGCATGTGTTCAATGCATGAATCAATTTTGGGTGTGCCCTAGGCACTCCCCACCTGTTCACCCTCCCCTTTCAAGTCTCAATGTCCACATCTGTCACTTATGTCAGGCATGCCTCACCTTGTCCTGCAGACCTGCAAAATCTACCATCTGCTGGGTGATGGCAGCAAAGTCAGGGTTCATCTCCATGGTGAGCAGTCGTGCACCAGTCGGCAGCAGGCGAGCCATGCGCACAGCTGAGTAGCCACAGTAGGCCCCCAGCTCCAGCACGAGGGAGGGGCTGTGCTCCTGAATCACGGCATCCACAATCTGGCCTGTAGAGCAGTTGGGGAGTATGTAAGGGAGGCTGGACAAAGGGGAACTTAACTCCTACTCATAGGTTCCACCTCTCTCCAGACCAAGCAACAGGTCCCTCTTTCCTCCCCACCCTCCCTAACCATTGCTGGAGAGGATCTTTTACTTCCCCAAAGTCCCCAGCTCTGAGGACCTGTCCTCACTGCACATATTCTTAGAACTTCCTCCAGGTCCTCCAGGCTTCTATGCCTTTGCACCCACCAGTCCCTCTTTTTCCCACCCTCCCTGGCTCACTCAAGATTTATACAATCTAAGGGGGATGGAGAGGGGCTGGGAAGTCTTGTCCTTTAGGGCTCAGTTCCAGGAGGTAAAGCAGAACACACATCTGTGCCCTGAGCTAGAGTCCAAGACCAGGGGAGGTGCCTAGAGAACCTGACTGACTGGTTCCTAGGCAGGTCCAATGACACTGTGGGACAAAGTCAAGGGAAGCTGCACCACTCTTATTGTCTGAGTGTAGGGTCCTGAATGTAATTTCTGCTGTGGCCTTCTTAAGTAATGGGATTATGAGGAGTCACTAGGAACTGGTGTCCATGGAGACATCTATGGTAGGGACTTTGCAGAACCTGACTCCCACCCCTATGTCCCTGGACAATGACTTTCCCTGGCTGGCTTTCTCCTTATAAAGCACATTTTGGAAAACATCTCTCCTCACTGGAGCAATGGTCTGGGTGCAGAGTCCGGCAATGGGTGTCCAGGTCTCTGAACAATCTTTGCCCCGGGTCAGGGAGCAACAAGCAGGGTCCTGTGGCTTAGTGTCCTGACGAGTCTCTCATTCCCACCTGAACACGTTCCAGGGCTCCCAAACCCAAACCACCCACCCCCTTAACAGGACTCTCCTGTGGAGGCAACAGTGCTGACTGACCAGGGTTCTGCCTGCTAGAGAGGTCACCTACCTTTCCTATCACCCACATTCATGGCCCACTCTTTCTGTGTGCAGTAAGTATCAATGGCTTCCAGCACACTCTGGGGGTCTCCAGGCTTTGCATTCTGCTGCACGTGGCGGAGGATACGCTGCTCCTTAGTGTCACCCATGATCAGGTTGCAGACTGGCTGCAGGACCCACTCAAGCCAGAAGATGACTAATAATCCCCAGCACAACCGGTATCTCCGTAATAGCAGCAGGACTAGCAGCACAAGGCCCAATGAGGCAGCTGCCAACAGCAGAAGAAGGACTCCCAGCATCTGCAAAGGCGGAGCTTGGTAAGGGAGGGGGCAGGAGGCAGCAGGGTAAAGGAAGTCCACAGAAGGGAACAGAGAAGGGAGTGAGCAGAGAGGGAGGGGCTTAAGTGTTCTGTGCTTTTCCTGACTCACCACCCTGTCCTCAGTGGAGGGCCAAAATTCAGAGAAACAATGTCACATGCCTTGGTTGCCTAAATGGGTCAGTGCCAGGGAAGCTCACCACCTTACCCCTCTAACATCTGTAAAGAAACATAGAGGATGCACATGTTCCTCTGGTAGTCCTGCATGGAGACCTGTCCAGGCAGAACTCCCTGTCTGGATCCTTCCCAGTGAAGGAGTTAAGGATAGGCCATCTCAGAATATGCTGAACTGTCATTAGTTCAAAATGAAAGAAGAACTATGACTGTAGGAAGGGCCTCGTGGCCCTTTTCCTACATGTAGCAGCCCATAAACATTTATTGGGCTAGGTGAGGTGGTGCATGCCTGTAATCCAGCAGCTAGGGAGGCTAAGGCAGGAGGATCTCAAGTTCAAAGCCAGCCTCAGCAACTTAGTGAAGCCCTAGGCAACTCAGCAAGACCCTGTCTTTAAGTAAAATATTAAAAAGGGTTGGGGATGTGGCTCAGTGGTTAAGTGCCCTTGTGTTCAATCCCTAGTACAAATAAATAAATAAATACATACATACATACATACACACATACTCTCCACTGCTGCGCCCCCGAGAGAGTAACTTGGGGCTGTGATGAAGCTAAATAAAACTTAGACTACCCCCCATGTATCTCTAAGTGATATCCCTAGAATTTACTATTCAAGTCAGAGATCATAAAATTTCTTACAAATTTATCATTGTCTAAAGAAGCATGAAAATATCATGTTTTGATCATGTCTTTGTACTTGATTGTTGTGTGGAAATTCCCAATGTGCATGTAAAATTAATAAAACTTGTGCAATTTTATCTTGTTATTCAGCCTTGTATTAGTTACATTCCACCCAGCTGAACCCAGCTAAACAGCAAACATGCTCTAAGGAAGGGTACAAGAATCTCTTCCTTCCCCGCATCAGACGGACTGGGATGGGGGTGTGTGTGTGAAGCAACCTGCCCAACTGAAGTAGGGAACAGCTTTAGTCTACTGACCCTCTAAAACCATGCACAAGGGCTAGGGATGCAGCTCAATGGTAGGGCACTTGCCTAGCATGTGTGAGGCCCTGGGTTTGATCCCTGCACTGTAAAAACAAAAACATGATACAGAAGTAAATATAGACCAAGGTTGTCACCTCCTGGCACCTTAGAAGACAACACAGGTCTAGGAAGGCTCCACAGCCTGGAGTACGGGCAAGGAAGTGTTAAGGGCTAGGAGAGGTTACAAGGCACAGAGGAGGCCACATACTTTGTGGAGCCCGCTTGGCCCCATCAGAGAAGCCTTCACTGGACACTCATAGTCTGCACAGCCAACAGATTTACATGACCCTTTTTGTTGTTGCTAAGAATTGAACCTAGGGGTCTTACATATGCCAACACATGCTCTAGTGCTATCACTGAGCTCCATTCCCCCAGCCCCCATTGTGTGGCCCTATATTTCCGGGTAAAAAGAGAGGCAGTGCCCAGGCTGGATACACAAAGACAGCCATTCTCCTCATGGAGTACTGTTCCAGAGGGAGAAAGGTTGGCCCTGCTGCCCACACCACAAGGTAAGTGAGACATGCAAAACCATATCTGTTGACCACAAGAGTGGCATGATAAAACTGGACATAGTAGCGTATACCTATAATCCCTGCATCTTGGCAGGCTGAGACAAGAGAATAACGAATTCAAAGGCAGCCTCAGCAAAAAAGCGAGGCACTAAGCAACTCAGTGAGACCCTGTCCCTAAATAAAATAAAAATAGGGCTAGGGATGTGGTTTAGTGGTAGAGCTGCCCTGAGTGCCTAAAAAAAAAAAAAAAAAAGGCACAATGAAATCTGAAATCATGGCAAATGGCTCCACTTGAAATCCTATTGGCAGAGAACACTTGAGGAAGCTCAGCCAGGGGTCCCTCAACTGGCATAGAGTTGATTTCACAATATTCAGAGCAAAGGCCCATCATTTCAGGCCAGAGACTGTAACATAAGAAAGAGAAATCTGCCAAGCTTCCCTCAGGGTCCCTATAGTCACTCACAGGTCTTTCTGGGATGGGGCCTGGGAAACCCTTGCAACTATACAAAATCCAGTTTTCCACTAAAAGCACAGAAAGGCACATCCAAGAGGGAAAAGGAGTCAGGCCCAGGACCTGCTTCCTCCCTCTGTGGGGAGTCTGCTTGAGGACATTTTCAGGGCTTTAAACCCCAGGATCACTGGTGGGGAAAAGGACTCAGAAGATAGAGCAGAAAATAAATAGAAAAGCTGAGGCTTGGGCTGGGGATGTGGCTCAAGCAGTAGCGCGCTCGCCTGGCATGCGTGTGGCCCGGGTTCGATCCTCAGCACCACATTCAAACAAAGATGTTGTGTCCACCGAAAACTAAAAAATAAATATTAAAATTCTCTCTTTCTCTCTCTTTAAAAAAAAGAAAAGCTGAGGCTCTGCCTCAAACAGGGATAGTATGGGCACCTAGACTTCTAGGTAGTCTCAGGACATAAAGAAGCCAATTTACACTGAACACATGCTAGACCTGAATCCATCCTGCCCTCTTCCATCAGCCAAATGATCTTCAAAGCTGTTTCAAATAGCTCCTGTTCTCACAGCTGTGGAAAGGGTCTAGACTCTATTCTCTGAGCTTACCAGCCAAGCAGATATTTGTGTGGAGCTCAGTTTTGTTTTTGGATAATCATTAACAGAAACCTTAATCCAGAAATTATCAAGGTCCAACTATCCAAGCCCCTTCCCCATAGGCCAGCCTCACCCAGGCCTTCCCCATCTTGCTGAAGATAGCAATTCACCTTACCAGCCTCAGAAGAGACAGTAGAAGGCCTCAGAGAGGTAATGGTAGAGTGTCCCCCAACCAGGGACTCTGTAGAAGTCTCTCTGGTTGTTATCTGCACTGCCCTGTGAGTAATGGTGGTACATGAACCCGAACCTTAGGAAAAGCAGGAAAAAGGAACCATTTTGCCCGGGCCATATTTTCCCCAGGAGATCAGTGATAAAACTTGGAAATTACATATAAGATGGAGGGCTAGTTACAAAGAATACATATAAATCAATAAGAAAGAGATGATCTAGGGCTGGGGATATAACTCAGTTGGTACAGTGCTTGCTTCACATGCACAGGCCCTGGGTTCAATCCCCAGCACCACAAAAAAAAAAAAAAAAAAAAAAAGAAAGAAAAAGAAAGAAAGAAATGATCTAAGAGAACAATGGGCCAGCATGACCAATGCACAGCTTACAGGGAAAAGGCCCAGAGGCCAGAAGCCTGGAACAAGCAGGGCAAACCAGATGCAGGTCTTGCAGACCACCTGGGGTTGGCCCCGGTCCTGTCCACTCATGAGAAGGTATGAATCATGCCATCATGGATATCAAAGGACACTGTGCAGACATTAGTCACTGTCTATAGAGTTTTTAATTGCCCAGGAGTTCTGGGCAAGAGGTTAGGCTATAACCCAGGCCTGATTACAACTTCAACTACTTCTTCTTCTTCCCCCCGCCCCTGCCCTTCCTTTTTCTTCTCCCTCTCAGTAGTGTGTGTGTGTGTGTATGTGTGTGTGTGTGTGTGTGTGTGTGTGTGTGTGTGTGTGTGAGATTAAACCCAGGGCATTCATCACCAAGCTATTACTCCAAGACTTTTTATTTTTATTTTGAGACAGGGTCTTGCTAAATTGTCCAGGCTGGCCTTGAATTTGCAATCCTCCTGCCTTAGTGTCCCTAGTCAATGGGATTAACAGACATGTACAACTGAACCTGGTTCCGCATTATACCTTTAGTTGATTACAAGAGCATGAAAAATATAGAAGGTCACTGCACAGTGTAATCCCAGCTACTGGGTGAGCTGAGGTAAAACAGAATTTGCACCTCCCCCACACACACACCAATTAAGAACTTCTGCTGAAAGAAGGAAGCTAAAGGACTGTGACCCTTGACCCTGACAGGTGCCAAAGAAGATGGGAGCAGAGATTGCCCATTATGGCCTGAAAGGTTAGCTAAACCTACATACGTATATAACCTGGCTTTTGTTTCTATAAGTAATTGCTTTTGTGGGGTCAGTGGGGAGAAGCTTCCAACTGGATTGCTTCTCCCCAGTTTGACATCTTTTGCCTAATTTTTACACAGGTGGGAAGCTAAATCCAGCCATCTAGGATCCAGGCAGATCTACTGATTACAGAGAGAGGAGGATGGCAAGTTCGAGGCCAGCCTTAGCAACTTTATAAGATGCTGTCTCAAAAATAACAAAATAAAAAGGGCTAGGGATGTTGCTCAGTGATAGTGCCTCAATCCCCAAATAAAAAAAAAAATTTTTTTTAAATCACAAGGACATATTTGCAGAAAAAGAGAAATCTGCCTGAAAGTCTCATGGAATCAAGGGACCCTGAATAGCCAAAACAATCTTGAAAAAGAAAAACAAATTACAGGATTTACACTTTCATATTTAAAACTCACTATAAGACCTGGGGGTGCAGTTCAGTGGTAGAGCTCTTGCCTAGTACGTAGAAGTCCTTGGGTTCAATCTTCAGTACTGCAAAAATAAATAAATAAAATAAAACTCACTACAAAGCTACAGTAATTAAAATACTGTGGTAGTGGCATAAAGACAGACATATAAACCAATGGACTAGAACCGAGTCCAGAAATAAACCCTCATCTATAGTCAACAAAGGTGCCAAAACCAGTCAGTGGGAAAAAAGTCTCTTCAACAAATGATGCTGAGACAAATGATAGCCACATGCAGAAGAATAAAGTTAGATTCTTATGTCATATCATATGCAAAAATTAAATAACAACAATAACAACAAAAACTCAACACTCAAAATGGATGAAACATTCAACTTTAAGGGCTAAAACTATAAAGCTCAGAATAAATTATAGACATAAGCGACTTTGGATTTGGTAGTGGATTCTTATGTGACACCAAAAACACAGGCAACAATCAAAAAACAAGTTGGACCTTAATAAAATTAAAAACTTTCCTGCATCAAATCACTAAAAAAGACAATGAAAAATGAAATAAAATACTTGCAAATCATCAATCTTTTGAGAGTTTAATTCACGAACATATAAAGAAATCCCTAAAACCTAATAAAATGACAAAAGACTCCATTTAAAAATGGAAATTGGGGCTGGGTGTAGCTTAGCGATAGAGCATGCAGGAGGCCCTAGGTTCCATAGCCAGTTTAAGGGAATGTGGAAAGGGAGATAAACATAAAAAGAGGTTCAGCCTTATTAGTCATTAGGGAAATGAAAATCACAACCTCACTTCACTCATGAAAATGGCTTTTTTCTTTTTAAAAGAAAAATAACAAGGATGTGGGGAAATTGGCCCATCCACTATTGGTGCAAATGGAGGTGAAAAATACTTTTGTTGTTGTTTTGCAGTACTAGAGACTGAACCCAGGGCTGCTTTACCACTAGCTTACATCCCCAGCCCCACTTTTTTTTTTTTTCCTTCATTTTGAGATAGGGTCTTACTTAATTGCTGAGGCTGGCCTCAAACTTGGGTTCATCCTGCCTCAGCCTCCTGTGTTGCTGGAATTACAAGGATATGCTACCCACACTCAGCTCTTTCTGTAACTTTTTGAGAAACCATCAAACTATTTCCCAAACTGGGCACAGTGGCACAAGCCTATAATCTAAGCAATTCAGGAGGTTGA